CTAATATGTCTTGTAGCTTAGCTTCATAATGTGCCGGAATCTTGTTTCAATCATGATATATTTATCTATTTATTTTATTCTATCTAATCTATCTATGTGTATCTATCTATCTATCTATTTATCTATCTGTCTATCTATTTATCTATTATTAATCTATTCTTGTACACTGTTATCTTTCAATCTTTGCGTGCTAAAAACCTAATAAATTCATTCATTCATTCATTCGTTCATTCATTCATTAATTCATTAATTCATCCTTCACCATCTTACCTTGATTAATGATTATGTATACTTATCAATCATTTTAGACTCAACTATTCATTGCATTCGATTAACAAACCCTTTTTTTCAAATAATTTTATGCTATTTAAATTTTTAAATAATCTTTGTGGTATTTACAAATGTAGATAATTAAACTTAATTCAAGAACAAATTTAATTCAATATTTAGAATTTGATAATTTTTGTAGAAATTCAGATGATCTCTTACTTTCGTAACACACTCTAAAACTTGTTTTTACAAAGTTCTAGATCTAATCTAGACAAGGAATTATTTACTCGAATGTATTTCACTAATACTTGAATTACGATACAGATAAACTATAACTTTGTAAACTGTAGGAAAAGCCAAACACCATCAGATTTAGACCAAAAATATCTCAAAAAAATTTAAAATTAGAAGATCTGTTAGAAAAACTTTTGAAGAGGAGAGTGCTAAGCTTCAGCGACTAAACTCGATCCACTGCACACACTTTTAGATTGAGATTTAACTCCTTAAATTAGGGAATTTTCCATTATGAGCACCAACTAGTACGTAGCTACTAAGGTTAAACCGTTGAATGGGGAAATTAATCGTCTAGCTCAGAAGTTGCAGATTAAAGACACACAAGTTTTGCCTTCCGGTCAAATTTGATAAGCATTCTTTCATTTAATCTTTAAATACAGATATAGAACAGTTTGCATTCCAATGATAGTTGGTTTACCCTGCATGTATATTGTATGAACTACCTAGCAATCGATCAGTTGCATTACATCCATCATATCTCAATATTAAGCTGTCAATTCAGTAGCTCTAGAGTAAGTCCAAATAAATATAAAGCTTCGCAAATATTCTTAACTAGAAGATCTAGCGAAGCCATCTTCCTCAAGTTAACACTTAACTTTACGCACACAATTTTAAAAATGTAATTTCTAGATTTTAAGTATATTATCTTATAAAATCAAAATTTCTCTGGAGAAAAGTGTTATAAGGTCAAAACTTTTAAGTTGTTATTGTCTTGACCCGTATCTTTTGTCTTCCAAAGGATCAAATTAATTCCTCTTCGATATCCCTTGGATATCCCTTGGACGTAACTTAACCCAGCAGGGATAATTAATAAATAAGGAATCAAGGACTTAGTGACTTAGCCCTTATATTTGAAAGTCATCCCAATGGATCTCAAGATCAAGAGTTTTAGATTAGCGGTATCTCCCATAGTAGTTCAGACCTCTGATTAGTTTCTAAGTTTATTTATTAATTTATTTATTTATTTATTTGTTTAGTACGGAGATACACCAATACATACTGCAGCTCGGTACGGTCATGCTGGGGTCATCAGGATACTGGTCAGCGCAGCATGCAGGGTATCAGAACAGAACAAGGTAATATCATGATTGATTATACAGTGGGACCTACAAATTCGTGGAAGACGACATGTAGGTATGTGCCTTCAGTTGGCCGTTTTTGAGTCTTTTTTTGTCTATATTTTATTTTAAGGTCAAAATTTGACGAATGTTTTCTAAATATTTTGTTTTAAACATTTAAAATTTTGACCCTGGCAGAATATGTATGCAAAAACGATCCAAAAATGATGGAAAACTATCGTTTTTGGATGGTTTTTCCATTTAAAATTAGTTTAGGATGAAGATATTGCAAATTGTTTAATAAAGGCAAACTTTAACATAAAACAGTTTAAAATCTTTTCTTATACAATACAAACAAATTAACAACACTACTTTCCTGTTATCATGCTGTTATTATGCAATTCAGTAATTAAGCAATTAAGCAAATATTATTTAGTTAAGTTAAATCGAACTGTGTACAATGTGTATAATGGGTCTAACTGTAATTTTAATGATAGTATTAATAGTAATAATGTAAATGATATCAAGAAGGATAATAATAATAATAATAATAATAATGTTAAAAATAATAATAATGATAATAATAATAATAATAATGATAAAAATAATGATAACAATGATAAGAATAATACCTAATTGTAGAATGGAGACACAGCTCTACATATTTCGTCTGCTATGGGTCGGAAGAAATTGACAAGAATTCTTCTTGAAATCGGAATAAATCGATGTTTAACCAATAAACAGGGAGAAACTGCTCTAGGTAATTATAATTTATATAGGATAAAGGGACTGTTCTTGGTACTTTAAGAGTGACTCTACATTTACAAATGTGCATGCCCTATTCACAGTAATATACTTTAAATAGTTTATTGATCAATAATGTAGAAGACCTCGCCTTTTTTAAGCTTGAAAATTGTTTAATTCTGACTATATCCTCCATTGTTTCTGAAGAAGAAATTCGTAAGTCACTTTTGAAGAGAATCCACAACAGAAATAATTAATTTTTGTTGAGAAAAACACGGATATCTCTTACATTCTTGGTCAGACAAAGGTTTTAAGGGTACTGTTGTGAATCGTACGTTCCACACAATATATAAAGGATCACTAACACAATACGGTGGCCGGACGTTTCACCTTATTTCACCGACTCAACATAAAATATGTTAGTTTCAGCAAGTTACCAGAACTGAAAATCAAGTATTTGCCACCAAAGATAATAAGGGGAAACGTCCGGCTAATGAAAAGATAGAAATTATGCCTACAGTACAGTCCCTTTATTCATTCATAATTCCCATTTAATCTGAATTATTTGTTTAGATATTGCAATGCGGAAAAATTTGACCGAAATCATTAATATTTTCCAATCCATCGCTGAACCAACAACTAAAACTATCGAAACCAAGTCTGTCGATCCTCGAATGCAAGGAGTGGATGATATAATTCGAGAATCTGATCTTCGAGCCGCGGAAACTCGAGCCTCAAACCACGAAGGGTCGAGCACGTCCTTTGACCGAGCCAGGAAAAGCCGGTCGAGCAAGCTAGATAACCGAGTTAATTTCAAACAAAATGATCCTGACACTAGTGATTTAAGTGAGTCAAGTCAGTTTGATGCTATCAAAAGTCTGAATAAAGACTTAAAGAGACGTCAATATAAATCCAAATCCTCAAATTCAAGTCAAATACATGAGCGATCTCATCGCTCGACGATGAAAACGTCAGAACGACGGGATCATGAAAGACGACGCGATCAACGTCCGTCGCGCAATAACAACTCATGCGACTGTGTACCGTTTCTGGAAAAAATCGGAAAACGGCTTGAGAACGACAAAAAGCAAATAATCCACCAGATCAACAACCAGAACAAGAAGCTTGACGGTCGGCTTGAAAACCTGGAGTCGAAGACGAAAAAACAAATCTTAAACTTTCATCAAACCATGAAGGAATCTTTGATACAATTTAATTTTTTTTCTTCTAAATTCATAATTTATTGTTAGAATATTTGCTGTTGGGAATATTATTGGATTCAACTTTCAGGGGTGCAACGGGGATATTTGTCAGGGGGGTGGGTTAGATATTTATATTTTATTGTTTGTAAAAAAGTCTTTGTGATGAGGTGAGATAAGGGCTTAAAATATTACTAAAATGAAATCCAAAAAAATAAGAATCTGAAACAAAATCATGTCATTTTAAATTGGACTCGGCCTCTGCTTTGCCCTTAAAATTTCTCCTTTTCAATCTCTAGGGTGGTAACAGGAGTTTTTTTTTACATAAAAGAATAATTTTTAAATTGTTGGATTGATCGCTAGGAATGTTTTGCAGAGGAGAGAGGAGATTGTCAATCTAGGATGGATCGGCTTACACTTAAGGTAGGTGTTAACATAGTATATACATACAGGGTCTTATGTTTTAAATGTGGACATATTGTACAAAAATAAGGACATCTCCTATTTATCAACAAATGTTTGAAGGATACTGTTGTGAATTGAATATGCCACTTCCTAATTAATCGTCTACATTCCGTTTAATATTAATAAACCAACGTATTATTTTTAATTTATGATGACTGTTGTTTTTAAAGGAAAGAATAGAATTAGAGCGGCAGCAAGCTATCCGAGATATTCTGCTGAAACGAGATATTGCTCGCTGGTTACAAGCCAAGATGGTAGAACTTGAACAAGGACTAGAACAGGCTCCTCAGGATAAGGTACTAAATCATTCAGAGTTTTAAAACGGAGACCAAAACTCCCGGGATATCTTGGCAGTCCTTTTAAACTTGAAAGATAAGTGTTTGATCCCTTTATTTTACCTAGATCCTGCAGGGTATGATCACCACGGGATAACCAAGAGGAATAAAATTAATCCTTAGGTCTGGGCGCACAATAAGGAATTCTATACTTGATCCCATGATTAACAATACAAAAGTTCTGATCTCTGATATGTCGGGATGTCCATTGTCTAACGTATTTATTGAATTGCACAACCATTTACAGCTTCAACGGGTGTCGTACAAAAAAAGTTTTTTTTTCTAATGTTTATTTTTGTTATTATACAAGTTGTTAAGCAATACAACAACAAAAAATATTAGGAATTAAAACATTTATACAGTGCAGTGTAGTACAGTACTGTATTATACAAGTTGTTTGCTGTGAAGCAATACAACAACAAAAAATATTAGGAATTAAAACATTTATACAGTGCAGTCCAGTACAGTACTGTATTATACAAGTTGTTTGCTGTTAGGCAATACAACAACAAAAGATATTAGGAATTAAAACATTATACAGTGCAGTGTAGTACAGTACTGTATTATACAAGTTGTTTGCTGTTAAGCAATACAACAACTAAAGATATTAGGAATTAAAACATTATACAGTGCAGTGCAGTGCAGTACTGTATTGTACTATGAAATCCCTTCTTTTTATAGCTGCAGCGTAATCTTGAAAAATTCCCAAATTCGACAGCGACGTGCTTGTAAATATTTTGTTATTTCTATTCTTAATTATTTAATTAAGGGGGGGGGCCGTTAACTTACAATTATAAACAAACATGTATTTACAGGGTTTATATACCCGCAAACGTAGAGACGACCTGGAGTTCTTAGAAAAGGACGATCCCAATGTTAAAATCAGTTTTCTGCCTTGATATTAGTCATATAATGGCTTATTAAAGGATTTAAAACAAGAAAAATAGTTTACAATTAAAGGGAATTATGAATTTAAGGAAAAAGACAGCATAAATTTTGTACGGTCGTAGTTCTGAAGTCTCATTCTTTATGAGTATACAAGATGCAACAAAACATGCTAATTCAACTTTCATTAATGAAATTTGATTACGTTTTAAGTCTGATTTTACTGCCTAAAGTTTTGAAAAGATTTGAACGCATTACGACACAGTATCGTAAACCTAAACATCGTAATCTTCATTAAAGTGTAAATACCTAACTTAATCTACAGTAATTTATTCTTTAGCAGTAAAAATAGATAATGGATTAGGAGTGGAAGGGGGGGGGGGGGAGCAAATTAACTTTTTATTTATGATTTAATTTTTTAACTGTAAATTAATTTCAGGCAATTATGCGTAAACTAACAAGGAGAAAGTCTCGGCGTGAAACTAGATCAATGATCTCTGATTTAAAGAACGGAACTCTCCGAAGATCAAACTCTGCTGAGCTGATCTCTGAGCTGGGAGAGAGTGATCTAGATTCAGCTCAAGGTAGTACTAAACAGCAGGATAGGGTTCAAGTCTACAGAGGACTAAGGATCAGTGATAAACCCCTAGAAGTAAACAACGACAACAACAACAACAACAACAACAACAACAACATGCTGTCTCCTACCGAAGAAGGATGTGTAAAGAGAGAGGAAAGGATCCGACCGAGGATCCGACACAACTCAGATGGGAATTATGACGACATTAATCTAATGCAGGAGACCATATTTTCTGTGCAAAGTGAAATGAAAACCAAGCCCCCTGAAGATAATATTTACGAGAACTTGATACCCCTGTACAGTACAGAAACACATCAACCAATTAGTAAAGAAAAAGCAGTTCTAAAAAGTCCCCCTCTGTATCCCAAAAGTCCTCCAATGTTTACTAACAATCCTCCACTTTTCCCCAAAAAGTCCGCGAGACAGCTAAACTTTTCAACCAGTAGTTCGGATAAACTAATCCGACCTCCATTGTCTTCTGATACAAGTTCTATAGATTCACATAATGATAGTGGATACTCAACCAGAATAGCAGTTAGTGAGGGTTCCTCACCCCCCCTAGGGGACCCGGAACCCCTCCTGGACCCCCAAGCTCTATACATGATCCCCCCTGACCTTATGAATAGATCGGATAGTGGATATGTTTACATGGATGAAAGATCGTTTCATGATCAATCTTCAGCTCTCAACAATCCTGAGTTTAGACTAAATCAAGTTTTAATAAATCCAAAAAGTAGTTTTGTCTAAACAAAAACTATTAAAAAAAATGAATTTTAAACTTTGAAAAGTGTAATATCTATGTATCTTTGATTACTAATTTAACAAAAAAAATGTGATATTTTAGTATGTTAATTAAATAAACATTATCCTATAGCATCTTCTTTGTTTTAAAACTTATGCAATATTATTTTTAAACATTAAAATTTGGGTTGTTGTAATACGTTTTGAGAAATGTTGATAATGCCTTTAATTTTCATTCTTGATTAACACCTTGAGGAAGGTAATGGTAAGAAATAAAAGCTGTTTTTGAAACCTAAAATAAGACTATAGAACCTTCAGGTTTATTAGAACAAATCTTTCTTAGAGAAGAGTCTAATCTAGAAATCAGTATTTATCACTTGGAAACAACTTATCCAGTCTAATTTTGAATCTTAGAGTTGAGAATAAGGGATTTAGACCTAAGACTAGACTTTAAATCACTGACTGAGCCTCATAAGTGATGACTGGTGGTTTCACGTATTGTGTTATATTGCGTACTTAAGAAAATACTGGAATTAAAACATGATCTAGAATTTTAAAATTCTAAATTATTCTTACATCCAACGTGCGTAGAACTAAGGTGGTGGTGGTAAGGGGGGATAAAATGGTAATATGGTTTCTTTATAACTTTGACGTAATAGGAATGCTTGGACACTTTTTTATTTATAAATAAGCACTGTAGTAAGGAAACAGCGATTTTACAAGACCGACCTTCTTTCCCCTGACAAAGAAAATTCTTACTTTTGTTTACAAACTTATTTATTGATTAAACTAATGCATAACAGTTATAATACAGAGTGGTAGGCAATTACATAAACACAATAAAGATAACTTTACATTGTTAACAAGCTTTTACCGAATTACAAGTTTACAAGTAATCACAGAAGCTTTTTTTTAATGACAGCTTCTCTTGACTTCTATGTTTATATGTAACCATACTGTTTAACAGCTTGATAATAATCAAAATTTAAATCGAAAGTAGTCTTCATTGTATTCATATAATCGCCTACCACTGTTGTCAACCATTAACAATAAGTCTCCGTTATAAAGTCGTCTTTAACTTAAGCTCCCTCTCGGAGACACCAAACCAAATAATTTCAACCCCCCCCCCTCTTCTCTCTACAACTGTACATCAAAGTAAAATCTGTACACTATACAGCCCATATTCCCCTTAGATCTACATACATTGCTTATATTTATTTTCAATACTATGAGATAAATGCATGAATGAATGTATAATGATTAGGTCGGATAAACAAGTCAGTTTGCATTAAACTTCATCTAGAATATAATCAATAATTAACCAATAATGTAAATTAAGATATATTGATGATAATAAATATGATAATGATAATAACAATAATAATAATAAAAATAATAATGATAATAACAATAACAATAATAATAATAATAATAATAATAATATTAATAATAAATAATAATAATAA